ACTGAGACATATGGTCCAGGAGTGCTTATGATGATGTGTTCCAGCAAAGTTTTGCATATATCCTGAAGAAATGTGAATACCTACTCAGGCAAGCATGCTGGGTGGTAAGAAGGGCATTGTGAAAGTACTTCATTAAAGGTCATGCGGGGAGACTTTCCCATGCCTCTTTCCTCCATGTTCAGCTACAGGGCTGTGGTGATATCTTGCTTGTACAATTAAAGCCTTTCTGAACATCAGAAGAAAGAGGAAGACAAAGCCACACAGTTCTCACCACTGAACCTGGATCTTCCCTTGAAAAATGAACCAAAATGCAGTGGTCTGTCTATTAACAAATGTCCAATTTGAAGTTTAAAACTAAAGTGAAATACAAGTGGATTTCTAAGGACACCTTTGCTCCCTGAAGGAAAACTCAAACTCTCAAGCAGAAACCACATTGAAGGTCACTTGTCCCCTCACCTCAGAACTTCTCCATGCAGCATCCAGATCCAAAGCCCAACTCCACCCCTTTCCTGGATCTTCCTGTGTCCTGCTGGCCCCTTCTTCTCCTATAATGACTCAGAAAGACCTGCCATGATTTCTAGATATGGATTTTCCAAAGCATAACCCAAGGAACTTCCCTCAGGGCTGTCATGGCCATGAATGAAGACGCTCTCTCTAGTGGTCCCTACTGAACCATCCATATCCTCCACTCAGGAAAAGAGCAATCATCCCAGCATCGCTCTTTATTGGTCTCTAGGCCCCAGCCCCACGGGAATGACTCAGGAAATGATTTGTGTCTTACCTGAGTAATGAACACTATTGTCCCAGCTGTTGCAGATGCTGAGGCAAAAGGATTGCCAGTCCCAGGCCAACCTATATCACACAGCAAGACCCTGTCTCTAATTAAAGCAAATTAAAAAACCCAAGAGCATTGCCTTTAAACAGCACATCTGAGATAAAACAACACAAACTTCAGTCACTTTGTTTCATCCATTGATGGGGAAAGTCCTTCTATGTATACGTTTGTCTTATTGGTTGATAAATAAAGCACTGTTGGCCAATAGGGAAGCAATATAGGTGGGACTAGGAGTCGAGGAAGATTCTGGGAAATGTAGTAAATACTTTCTTTCTCCATCCATTGTCTGGCAAAGAGTACCCTGGTCCTCAGTTGGTACTCTTTATTTACTTGTCCTTCTGATTCTCACCCTACCAGGTCACACATTTGAGCCATGTTCTTCCACTTCACTTTATAGATTTCAATTAGAACTAAACCTTAGTATAGCCTATAAAATGGAGGCTAAATGTACCCATTGTACACAGTACAATCTGCTAGTGAGCACTATCTAAAATTTTCAATTATTTTTTAGATGTGGTGTTGTACATTTAGGGTATCAGCTCCTGAGGATGCAGAGGCTGAGATGAGAGAATCTCTTGAGTACAATAGTAGGATGAATTTAAGGACACACTCAGCAGAACAGTGAGGCCTCATCTGAAAAAAAACAGACTTAGGGAAGACCACTCAATGAAAAGTCACTGGGAATGATTAGTGAGGGAAGGAAATCTCATGAAGTCCTGCAAATGACCTCAGAGGACAGCAATGCATCCATTCACACCTGGGCGAGAGTTATCCATGGAATGGGACCTAAAAGATGATAACTGAAGTGGGGCTGGAAGTGGAAAATGGAAAGAATCTATAAATTAGAGCCTCTTACTCCTGCAGGCTAGACATAAATGGTAAGGGAAGCCTGACTGGGAGAGCGGCTATCCCATGGGCTGCTTAAGTGCATATGTTAAATGGAGGACCCAGTGATCCATCTTTTACATAAGTGACCAGTGACAACCAAACCTATCCTCCTAAAGATCCTTCTGAGTGCGCAGCTCAAATGCACCCCCAACCTCCAGCCCCTAGATGGCTCTCCCCTCCAACACACATCAATCAATTTCCCCAGCAAGGAACAGACACCCAGAAAACGAGACACCTGGCACTGTCTGAAAGACATCTTTGCAGCCACTAGGGTAACATTTTGTTACCCAAAGGGATCACTGACATATTCTAAATTAATTGAATGCATCTGCTTTGGACTATTTTTCCCACAAAAGACAAACACACAAAAATTGTGCTGACTCTTCCCCAGAAGCTCACTTGTCCACTTGGAGACCAGGCTGGAGTTTGGAAGGAAGACCAGAGTGAGGTAGATTTGTCTCCTGGGAACTGAACCTGTGACCTCATTAGTGCAGGGTTCTAATCAACTGAGCCACTAGGCACATTCCTTACTGAAGGCGCCATGGCAGTAATTTGCTACATGTTAATTCTAAGATTAACTACAGATGAGGAGCATTCCTCCGGGGCAAAATGAGAGATTCGCTAATTCTTGGGAAAAGATTTAGGTCATCAGTTTTTGAACCCTTTAGTTTTAAAATATAATTCGAGAATCTTGAGATGATGCCTGCCATTGTCTATACCTTCCTGATTCTTTTAGTTACTGTCTGCATCAAAGGGACAAAGCAAATGGTATCACCCTTGCAACTGCAACATACTACCCAAGTACTTGTTTATAGATTTCTCTACATTTTCTATGTTTCAAGCACAACACAGAAGATGGTTTTCCAAAATCTACAGGGCTGCACCCCATCACTGCCACCACTACCCCCCCAAATTGCTAAGTCCTGAAAAGACAATCCTCCCTCACCCAAGAAAAAAGGAAGACCAGTGTTACAGACCTGTCTCAAGACTGAAGAAGCCTAATCCATTCCTCTCCTTTCTTTTTCCTTTAACCAGTCTTGAAAAGCTAATATTTAGAAGCAGTGAATATGTATGGAATACTGTTTTGACGCTGACTTGGTATCCTGTACTCAAATTCCTATGAATATTCTTCCTGCTTCCTAACTCTGAGAACAATTTCCGCTCCAAAGCTACATTAAACATTCAGGCCATTTCAACTTTAGCTGCTCCCACCCTTACTGTGACTTTGAACTTGATATGGCTTAGGAAGAAACCAAAGCAACTATTTAAAAATATTAATAAAGATGGGCTCTATCCCAGACTCAGTAATTTTGTGGCGGGACCTCTGTGAGGGATCCTGGGGATGGCGTTGGAAGTGTGCCCACACTAGCTTTTCTATGGGAAGCTGGCTGGAACCCCCACTGTTTCCTGGAGGGATTTTCACCACGAAGAAACTCAAGCTTCATACTTGCACATTGAAGCTTCTGTCCTAGGAGCTTAAAGCAATGATTTAATACCTTGACCTGATTGAGGAGGTAGTTCAGTGGTAGCACAAGCCCTAGGCTTGAACATCTACCTACAAACACTTTGATGTGCATGCATATATACATCTAGGCCAGCGTCAGTTGTAAGAGACACCTCCCATATTTGTTGGATAACTCCCAGCCTGACATCAAGGGAGCATCCTGGATCTTGCCTTGACCATTGGGGCTTCATAGGAAAGTTAAGTCTCCTGTGTCAACTGTCCATTTTTTCATCTGTAAAATGATTGTAATTACAGTTACTACAAAATAGGGCTGCTGCTGTGCACCAGAAATACACACAAAATTATTCAGTTCAAGGTTGACACATAGCACTGAGGAACTCATTGTAATGTAAGAGTCTGGGCTGTGAGTATAGGTAGGGTAGAGCACTCATTTGGTTTATATGAGAGCCTGTGTTTGATCTCCAGCACCACAAAAACAAATAACTAAACAGCAACAACCTAGCTACTATGTGCCTCTCTTGAGCAAAGCATCCCCATCTGGGTGTAATATGTTGCATCTCCAATATCCCTCGCTTTATAAAGCTACAGTGAAAGTTAAATATGTACTACAGTTCTACATCCACAAGGAAAACACTAACGATGAAACTGAACACAGCATGCTTAAATAGCATTCTCTGATTCACATAGCTAAGAGGCAGAAGCCTAAAATGAAAATAGCTAGCCCTGATTTCCAAATTAATGCCTATAAAAATGTTTTCTTATGAAATGCATTCTAAAACAGCACAGTGGAACTTTCCAAATTAGCATGACCAAAATAGATGATCTTTCTGTCTACAACAGCTCCAATTCTTAACCAACCTAAAGGTTTGAAGGAATTTCAAAAAGGGTATAAAAATATTATCTGCCTATTCAAATAATCAAGCTAAGTACATTTTTATCTGAAAATACAATCTGAGACAGCCTCATTTTATAGTCAAGAAACTCTCTTAACATATTCAGGGAGCTACAGTTTTAAACAACTCAAGTTCAAGCTGACAGTCAGAAACTAAATAAACAAAACTTAACCTGCTGGGTAGTATCCGTCTTACAGTGCTGGGCACAGTTGTTGTAATCTGCAGGGGGATAGACGGTTCAGAAAAATAAATAGTTTTCATTTCCTCTCTATATTTCCTCAAACCACGCCAATGCACAAGTCTGTGGCTCACTTTAAGGGCTTGGTAAATACTCTCCCCATCTTGCTTAGAAGACTATGTTTTATTTTTATTTTGTAACAAAACGAAGGAAAGAACATGGGTGTCCATTGTTCCGAAGCACTAAGTCCTAATCACTTCCCATTCTCATTCATCAGCAAGGTAGTGTTCTCAAGAGACTTGGGGATTTTTTAGCCAGTAAATAGTGCCTTTCGTTTTGTGATATCTGTTTCTTTCCATAAAATGATGCTGTTTATTCTCTCTAATGGTGAAGGATGAAAGATAAGGAGAATTCTATTTAGTGACGTTGAACCATGAAGAAGTAAATTTTAGAGATCAAATCACCAATAGAAAAATAAAATGTATTATGTGAAGTGGAAACATGGGATTCCTTGCAAATATTCACCATGACTGGTAATTTAGTAGCACCATTGTTTTATTAATATTTGAAGGGGGAAGGGTATAGCTCTTAGGCATTAGCCTTCAGCCAGACTCTCTCTACTTGCCACCATTCCCTAAGTGAGCCAACATGTACATAGGCATCAAAATTTGAGAGTCTTGCAATGGGCTGTTCAAACCACAAGAGTCAAAGGTAAGAGTTGACAATGTCATTTGTACTTACCTCAGCCAACACTACAACTGGAGTTTGGTCTCTGTGAATCAGTGGGAGATGGTAATCACCTGCCTTCAACAGTACAGGATACCTACAACATCACTGAAATCTGAGGAAGAAAGATACACAAAGGGGGGGCTGGAGAGATGATTCAGAGTTTAAGAGCACTGGCTGTTCTTCCAGAGGTCTTGAGTTCAATTCCTAACAACCACTTGGGGGCTCACAACCACCTATAATGAGATCTATCTAGTGCTCTCTTCTGGTGTGCAGGCTGAACACTGTATGCATAACAAGTAAATAAATCTTTAAAAAAAAAAAAAGACGGATAGTCATTTGGTTTTGGAGAACCAATCGGTGAGTTCTACCCTTTAAAAGACCATTTCTTCCTCTCATGGCATTCCCTCGTCGCCTGTAGGTGTTTGTGTAGGGTTGAGAACTCATGGGCTATTGTGGAATATTATTTTAAGGTGTGTTACATTTGTTTATGCTGTGAAACATTTGTTTAGGGATGTAAAGGTGTGTTGCTTTTGTTTATGCTGCATTTAACTCTGTGAAGCTGTGATTCTTTGCCTGTCTAAAACACCTGATGGTCTAATAAAGAGCTGAACAGCCAACAGGAGCAAGGATAGGTGGGGCTTGCAGGCAGAGAGAATAAAGACGAGATGAAGATAAAGGAAGGAGAGAGGAAGGAGGAGGACTTCAGGGGCCAGCCAGTCACCCAGCTACCCAGCTACCTAACCAGCCATGGAGTAAGAGTGAAAGGAGAAAAAAAAAAAAGACATACAAAGTGCTACAGTGAAGCCAAATGTAGTAGTGAATGTCTGTAATCCCAAGTACTTGGAAGATTGCTGCAAGAGAATCACATGAGCCTAATTGTTCAAGGCCAGCCTGGGCAGCACAGTGTTGCAAGGATACTCAGCCACTTTCCGGACATTTGGATATTCAAGTGTTGTTTCGAGCCTTGGCTTCTTTCTCCAGGGTAAGGGACATGGCAGTGGCGGTGGTGACGTGGGTTGGAAGAAGAAGTAGCAGTGGTGGTGGTAGTGATGGTGACGGCAGCGACACTGAAGGTTGTGGTCGTGGTGACAGCTATGGAAGTGGCAGGAATGGTGATGATGGTAACGGTACCGGAATTAGTAGAAGTTGTGATGGTGTTACTGGTGGTGAGGGTGAAATGGTAATGGTTATAGTGGTTCTGGAGGTTGTTAGCGTTGGAGCTGGTGATGGTGGTGACAGGAATGGAGACAGCAGTAATAATGGTAGTAGAGGTAGCAGTGATGATGCTGGCAATGGTGCAGGAGGTGGTGATTATGTGGCAATGGTCACGGTGAGCATGGTGGTGTTGGTGATCTGTATCTCTCTGTGCTTGTATGTTTCCGTCTCCTCTCTATGTCTGTCTTCTGTGTGTACGTGTCTGCCTGTGTCTATCTGTGTCTGCATGTGTGTGTGAGAGAGACTGTCTGTCTGTCTGCCTGCCTGCCTGTCTGTCTGTCTGTGTCTTGTGGCATGAATGTAGATTTCCATGGGGGCCAGGGGAGAGAGTTGGAGTTACAAACCATTGTGAGCCACCTGATGTGGTGCTGGGACCCAAGCTTTGCAAGAGTATGTGCTCTTCACCACTAGGCCGTCTCTCCAACCCCAACAATGTTATTACTGTTTATGATTTGAAGGACACGTTTACAGAATAATAGAAATACAAAGCAGAAATCAAGCCACTGCTTCAGAGACATCTTTCTTCATGCATATTTTGTGTTGTTGTTATTCTTAGCTATTACTTTCATCATAACCATTGTCACTGAAAGCATTTCAAAGTGTTGGGAGTATTTGAAGCTGCTACAGTGTTCAGTTCATGGATTTTTGTGTAGAACCATGTGATGACACTCTTCTAGCCAAGTCTGGACTGTCTGGGAGTTGAAAGTCATATTTACAGCACTCATCATGATAATAAAGAGAATCCCTCACAGACTAGTGATATTTAGTGGATAAGAGAAGAGTCATGGCACAGTTCACTTACGTTTCTCTTCTTTCTTTTAGACACACCCTAACATAGAATCTACTGTCACTTCAAAGTTAGGAGTGGTCGTGTTGACTCAGGAAATATGAGCAGCATGGGCAAGTGTCATCAATCGGCAGAAGCATCAGGAAACCAGACAATATTCACTGAGTTTCTTCTCCCTGTGGTGAAAGAGGAAGCAGGTAAAGAAGGAGCCCTCATCACTCTATATATATCCTAAATGCCAATGACAAGCAGACCTCCTCCTGATCCACAGTAGACTTACAAAGAGAGTGAGAAATAAATTCCTGATACCTGAAGTCACTGAAATTTGGACAGTAAACCACAACCTATTGTATCCTAACAGACACCAATGGCCCAAATAAGAGTGTTCAAAGTCACTTGTGGTCATAGAAAAGGAGAAATCTACATTTCTCCCCACAGTAAACAAAGCCTTCTGAGACTTCAACACTTTTCCAGAAAAGGTCCATTTCAGAGAGAAAGTGCCTACAAAAGAGAAGGTGTTGGTATCACAACCCCCTAAGTAATGGGAAGCCATTCTGACCCCACAGTAATTCTATCTCAATTTAGGGAACTCATCTAGTTGCACAACAAAGTACTGCCTCACCTTGAGGCAAGCAGACAAACCCAGTGCTCCCCCACAAGTCACTTTCAGAGCTATTCATTTAAACATGTACTACTCAAGGTGTCAGCCACCTTAACAGACTCTCTTCTCGGAAAACCAGATCTCATCAAAGTTAGTACCTTGCTGTATGCTAAGTGGGGCAGTAGATGAGAGAAGCCCATCTGTGCCTGCCCTCCAATCCCCAAAGCTCCACCCCCAACAGAGCTGTAGCTGGGTTTGAAAACCCTAGTGCATGCAAAACACAGAGGCTCTTTGAAGACCTGGCCCAGCATTATTTGTGAGTTAAAGACTTGCTGAGCCTTGCCAAAAACAACAGGGAGGGAAGAAAAGGAATGGTTGTGGTTTCATTTTGGTTTGGGTTTTTTTTCCTTCTGAACTTGAGAAATAAGCATAAACCTCCTCTTTTCTAAAACACTGAATGGCTCCAATTTTCCACAACGAAGTTGACCTCTCTCGGTGGCCATCGTCTCCAGCAGATCCAAGTGGCTTCTTCTTAATAGTCACCACTTTCTTTCCCAAACAAATCCCATGGTTGCCTTAGCCAAAATAGATGTCCTGGCTTCTTACAAAGAGGCCTCGGGTCTTGTACAGTGTTCGTGGGCATTGTCAAGACATAATAAAATGAATGGCCTGTGTGTGCTACACACACTACAAATGGCATTACTTCTTTCGTTTCCAGCCTCTACTATGTCTAGCTTGTACAGTCTCTACCTAAGCAAGAACAGAAGAAATACACACTTACTAGACATGTTCCCAGTACAAAATTCTGACAAAATCCTTTGAGTTAGGTTCTATTATGCCTGAGGATATAGTGTGAGGCAGAAAGTTCAGTGGTTTATCCAGGGCGTACACACAGCAGTACTTGTAGAGCCTGAATTATAGATACAACATACACACAGCAGCAAGTCTTATCTATATGGTCCTGTTACCAAGCAAGTTTTCTTCTGGGTTAATATTTTTGTACACTGTGAACATGTGTCTCTGCCAAGGCACCTTCTGATTGGTTTAATAAAGAGTTGAATATCCAATAGCAAGGCAGGAGAGGATAGGCTGGACTTCCAGGCAGAGATAGGAACTCTGGGTTAGAATCTGGTGTGGGGAATTTGCCAATGAGACAGGGAGGAAGTCATATGTACCATATGGAGGAGAGGTAACAAGCCAAGTCACAGAATGTAGATTAATATAAACAGTTAATTTAAGATTTAAAGGCTAGTTGGAAATGAGTCTAAACTAAAACTTTCATACTTTTTTTTTTGGTTTTTCAAGACAGGGTTTCTCTGTGGCTTTGGAGGCTGTCCTGGAACTCACTCTGTAGACAAGGCTGGTCTCGAACTCACAGAGATCCGCCTGTCTCTGCCTATTGAGTGCTGGAATTAAAGGTGTGTACCACCACCACCCGGCCAAGCTTTCATACTTACTAAGAAGTCTCTGTGTTGTTATTTGGGAGCTGGTGATCCAAAGAAAATATGACTACAAAGTTAGTTTTTAATGGCTATGGATATGCTATTCTGTTAGCTTTCATCATTATGATGGAATACCAAAGATAAATAAGGGAGCAAGTATTTTCTTGGCTCACAATTTCAGAGGTGTCAGTCCACAGTCAGTGAACCCCATTGTGTCAGCCTGTGTCATGGTGGAAGGACAGAGCAAACCACAAAGCTGTTTGGTTCAGAGTAGCAAGGATGTAGGCGACTAGGGAGAGAAGATAAACAGGAGGAAAAAGAAGGGGAGGTGCCAGAGACACCTTCAAGTACCCCTCTGTGGTGGTTTGAAAGAAAATAATCCCCAAAGGGAGTGGCACTATTAGGAGGTGTGGCTTTGTTGGAGCAGGTGTGGTCTTGTTGGAGTAGGTGTATCACTGTGGGAAGTGGGCTTTGAGGTCTCATATGTGTTCAAGTCACACCCGGTGAGACAGAACACTTCCTATTGCTTGCACAAGATGTAGAACTCTCAGCTACCTCTCCAGTTCTGTGTCTGCCTGCATTCTGCCATGCCCCACCTTGATGATAAGGAACTGAACCTCTGAAACCACAAAGCCATCTAACTAAACGTTTCCTTTTTTAAGAGCTGCTATGGACATGGTGTCTCTTCACAGCAATAAAAACCCTAACTAAGACACCCTCCATATAACCTACTCCCTCCTACCAAGCCTCACCCACTAATAGAACATTTAACATAATAAGATCAAAGCCTTCATATTCAATGACCTCTCAGAAGTACCACTAACTTGGGACCAAGTCTCCAACACTTGTTGATGTATATTTAACACACAATCTCCACGTCCATTGACCTAGTTGCTAAGAAGAAGGTACTAAACTATCGCTTTCAGAAATACAGCAATTTCAACTGAGAGTCCCTTAGCATGAGCTCAAAGTCTACCAAATAAAGTAGGATTTGAAGAAGCAAGGCAGGAAGAAAAGACTATGGCCATGAGGAAGAGAGGACCATCTGGGAAACTACTGGAAAGACATTTAGAACTGAATCCGATTGATAAGTTAAAAAAAACTGTGTGAGGCCAGGTGCTGGTAGCACACACCTTTATTCCTAGCACTCAGGAGGCAGAGGCAGAGGTAGGTGGATCTCAGTGAGTATAAGGCCAGTCTGGTCTACAAACTGAGTTCCAAGACAGCCAGAACAGTTACGCAGAGAAACTCTGTCTCAAAATGATAGATATAGATAGATGATAGATGATAGATAGATAGATAGATAGATAGATAGATAGATAGATAGATAGATAGAAAAACTGTATGAAAGGTAACTGTCCATCATTGTATGTTGGTTTGAATTTATCAGTAGCTTAGAATTTTTAAAGTTAAGCCCTATGAAAGAACACAACACATTACATCCATAAAAAGCAAAGAGAACAGAGAGACCAGAAAGTCACGGATACAGTATAGTCAAAAAATGTTTAAGGAATATGCAGAGGGAAATGGACTGACGAGGCAGAGAAGAAATTCCAGAAAAATCACTGAGAAGGTAAACAAAGTAATGTAAAGAAGAAAAGCGTTGAAGAGTAGATTGCTTTTAAGAGAATAATTTGATCAGTGTATCAGATATGTTTCTATTGCTACGTTTAAAAAAATTACCAAAAGCAACAACAAAAGAAGGAAGGGTTGATTTTGGGCTTGTGGCTCAGGAGGGATCAATCAAGCCACCATCATGGCAGAATAGCATGGTAGCAGGCACAGGCATGGCAGCAGGAACAGCTGAAAGTTCATATCATGAACCATAAAGAACAGGAAGCAGAGAGAGCCAACTTGAGATGGCACAAATCTTGTCCAGCAAGGATACATATCCCCAAACATCCCCCAACTGAGGACCCAAGTACCCAGACTATGGGGAACTTGATTTCAAACCATGACAAGGAAGGGGAGAAACAGAAAGGTCCTTAGCAGTAAGTTAGAAATAATTCTGCACAAAGTAAATAAATACTGACTGCTTAGAAAATACACAGAAATGGGCCTCAGAGGCAAGAGAAGAATCATTTGAGCCAGGTCAGAGTGAAGATAAATATATTAGCTATTTTCAATGCCCAGCAAAACTCAGAGAAAGGAAAGCCTTTTATTATTCAAAACACATGTAGATTTCCAAATAAATAAAAGGGGGGATGTTTTTGTAAATCTCTAGATTCTGATTAAAGTCTTTCATTTATTTCCCTACCCATAAAGCTCACATTCATCTCAAATCCTTACAAAAGATGCTCCCAATCTGTTCTACGACTTTGCAAAAGGCACGGGGGCTGTGCCCACATTTCTTCATGCTGTTCTTTGATTTTGACATAAATGCTTGAACCCTGCAATTCGTGTTTCAAAATCTAGCCCTATGGAATCTGTTTCCTGAGTTGATTCATTCCCCTGTCTCACTAGAATTTTTAGCTGAATGTATCACTCGCTTCGGCCCAAATGGGCCAGTCACTTAAGTATATGATACACGGTGCACTTTTCTCTGTGTTAATCAATTTGTGCTACTTCCTCATAGGAGTTATTGACAACATGGCTATTCTTCAGATTTGTATCTGCAGTACAAACATTCACTCCTCTGCTCACCAACCCAAACATCCTAAAGTTGGAGGGATAATTTTCACCTTTTCTTGTAGTTAATCCCACCTCTGGAAAAAAGAACGCTTCTCAACCCTCATCAACAACAAACTCCTGCTGGTTCACAGCACACCAGAAAAGAGAAAAATTTAGCACCTCGAACAATATTGTGAGGAGAACTAGTTTTTAAAAACGAAAACATCTTCATTGTAACAATGATAATGCGTTCCACCCCCAAAGTAAAAGTATTGATACCTGAAACTATGCTGTGGACATATTTTCTAAATATCATCTATAGAAGAATCTAGAATTCTGGTCTTCAAATTCTCACTGAAGAAGAGCATAGTGGTAAAACATCTGTGAATGAACTGTTTCCTGTTTACTTTGCAAAAGTGCTCAGGAATTCACATAAGTAATTGATGAAATAACTGTCTAATGCCCATCTTTCATGAGACATAAGAACATACTCCTAGATATTTTCCAGGCTAGATGACCAGCGAAGGATCTGTTTCCTCCTAGGAAAAGATATAAACCCCCTGAGCTGGAACTCCACACCCAAGTTCTAAAGTAATATCCAATCTGAGCTACATGACCATGATGACTGAATGGTATTTCAAATGGTAGCACACAGTGAAAATCACAGCTGAAGGGCCAGGAAGCATTTCCCAAGGCATCCCCCGAGTGCAGCAGCCATCCTTTCCTGTTTCTACATTGCCTTCCATGTCGTCAGATGCACCAGGGTCTCTGACTGCAGAGCAGTGCCGAGTCACTGCAGATGTTGCCTACTTTTGACTTACATGGCAGTTTTCTAAAGAGCGTCTTCACTTATGTGACTTCTCCAAAAGTCCTTATGTTACTGACGTGATATTATCTACACATACGCTCGTATGCAAAGAGGCATGCTTGGAGTCTGCAGAGGCCAGCACAAACGTGTCGCAGCTCTGCCTTCTTTGTGGCTTTATCAACAACAGACAGATGTGGAGGGTTTTCATTATGAATAGTCCTAAGTAGAAAACTGAGAGCAAATCCTCAAATCACATAGGGTCTGCAGGCAGGCCAGAAATGGATCTATGCCCTGGCAGGTTCCAGAGAAACAAAAGCAGTATCGACTGTGGACCATCAATTCAGCTCTCTACCAGTGGAGAGAAAAAGACATCAGAAATGGGCAGTATAATTTTCACTCCTTCAAATGGTGACTGACTACAGACTGGAGAGATGACTCTGCAGTTAAAAGCTCTTGTTTCTCTTCCAGAGGACCAGCATTCAGCTCCCTGCACCCACGTCCTACTATCCACAACTACTTGTAACTCTAGCTCCGGAGAACTCAATGCCCTCTTGTGGTCTCCACCAGCACCTACACGCATATGGCACTCACTCACACAAGCAGACACACACATGTGCATATGCATGCTCATAAACAGGAAATGATAAAAATAGATTTTTGTGGGTTGTGGTGGCTCATGGCTTTAATCGCAGCATTCCAGAAGCAGAGGAAGGTAGACATCTCGGTTAGCTTCAGGCCAGCTTGGTCTACATAATAAGCTCCAGGCCCTAGGTGACAACACAACAGAATTGTCCAAATTGAAACTTCTACCACCTCAACCGACTGTGGGCTCAGTCAGTGTATCCTTCCACCTAGGAAAACAATGCTAATCGGTAAAGCACTGAAGGGAAAATTCAGTTAAGGGTATATTTCTGGTTTTGACAATGCTTCAGGACAATGAAAACCATAGCTACTGAGGCTAAGGGTATGTATCATTTCTGTTCTGTTTCCATCATTGCTGAAATTCAGTTTATAACTTTAGGGGGTAGGGGTGCTAGGACTGGAGCCCCAGACCTCACATATACCAATTAAGGACAATACCATTGACCTACACACCATAGTCTATATTTCAATCCTGAGATATCTGTCATTTAAATCTATCTACCTACCTATCTCTCTCTCTCTCTCTCTCTCTCTCTCTCTCTCTGTGTGTGTGTGTGTGTGTGTGTGTGTGTGTGTGTGTGTGTGTGTGTGTGTGTTTTGGTCATACATGTCAAATATTAGAAATGTGAGTTCATTATAAATAAATCAACTGCTAATAAGTCTCAAGGCTCTCTGGTCTCTAAGGATTGCTGGTATGTGTCGTAATGCCCTTGAAATAAGCCAGACTTCATATAAAGTTCATCACTGCAGACACAAGACTCAGTATGACCCTTTCAAACATTATCCTCCCTGACAAACCATCCTCACAAGTCTTAACCCAGAAGTCATCATCCCATCTGGAATATGAAACAGAGGTTTAGGTAAAAGAAAAAAAGAGAAAGAAAGGAAGGAAGGAAGGAAGGAAGGAAGGAAGGAAGGAAGGAAGGAAAGGAAAGATCAAGGTTTGGGGCCCCTGAATTTGTAATTTGGAATCAGGGATGCAGCATACATGGAAGGCTATTTCATACACTCAGTTAAAACGTGAATATGACATAGCACAAGGACTCTGAGACAATCTAAAGGAATACATGTCAAGAACTGCCACAAAATGGGATGTCACAAGCTATGAAAGTTGGGTCTACAAGGCAATATAATAACTAAACATAAGGTGAGAAACTTCCAGAGCCTTCGAGAAATTGGAGCTGCACCCTGCCAAATACATGGAAATGAAGAATAACCTCTAGACTAAAGCTGTTTGTGCACACTGGAAGAATGTCCTGCATGAGAAGAGTGGGTGTATGTAGCTGACCATGTCACCAAAGTCAGCAGAGGCAGAAGTCCTCTCAGAGGAACAACAAAACTCTCAGGTCATGTTTGTCATTCTCCAAGTGCCCCTCTGAGGAATTCTGTCTGACCTCTGAGGTTGAAGTACCATGTGGAGTCTTTGGGAATCTATCAAAAGCCTGGCATCTGCGTGCAGCCTCAGAGCCTCTGAATTCAAAACAGGACCGTTTCCTGGCTCAGAACTCCATCTCCAAATTCCTTAGGCTCAGGACCGATGGGAAAACAGATCCACCATGTTCTTCTGATGTAGAAATCATTCAAACTGACAACAGATAGGAGATTTGAAATCGTCCATGTACATAGTCAGATTATTTTTTTCTTCTACATGACAAAGAACACAGCACCCTTAACTTTGATTTTCTCACCTCTCTCAGTTGAAAGCAAAAACCAGAACATGAAATTAAAGCACACACACACACACACATACACACATGAGAGCTCGAGGGGAACCCTCTGTCTCCTATGCTGTACCACATGGCATTCTAGAAAAGCTGTACAATTTTAGGGGTCTTTTCTCCAAATCACATCTCTACACTATTCGGCCAAACAACATCACCTATTTTTCACACAGAACCTTCCCAGGAAGTCAGAGAAAGAGTTCAGACACGCAGAACAGAAGCAGATGATATTGGCTGATGGAGGGGACAGGAAGAAGGGAGTGCACTTCCTTTCAACATTAAACTGCAAAATGCTCAAACTGAACAAGACATCTGAGGTCGCCAAGCTACCTTTTTATTATACAAAGGAGACCCACAGAGATCAGGTTGGGATTGCTTAAATCTTATAAAAGTCAACTCCTGAGGTTTCCTAGAGGTAAAGTTTTTCCATTAGCAAATGATCATAAACCCCCTCTAGCTACTGATAGGAGTTAGGCATTCTCTGCAAAAGAATAACACACACACACACACACACACACACACACGTATCAACTCAGGGGTTTCTCAGAGACCCTAAACCTCATCTCTTAATGTTTAACAGATCTATGACCCCCACCCCAAAGAAAGCAGCTTTTCTTTTTCAAAACTTACCAACTCTGAGAATACACACTCGTCCTGATGGTGTGATCTATAAAATTCTGAGGGAATGCAATTCCAACAATTCAAAAAGATGATTTAATCCCTAATCAATATTTCCATATTTTTAACATGTGTCAAGGAAAGAAAATGTGCAGGAGAAATTGAAACCTATACATATTTCACTAGCGATTTCACATATGGACCTGGAATATCTTTTCCCTAATATGGAGATGGCTCAGCAGTATTTAAATGACTCCTTATTCCAAGTCATATAAATACGCACCAGATGTATCTTTTGTAAATGTTATGTTTTTCAAGTTCTCAGCATTTGCAAGTAGTTGAAAGCTATGTCAAGCATGCTTTAATGGGGCATAAAAGTGTATTGTATTCAAAGAGATGGCACCGCTTTGTAATGGGGGAAATACAAATGTTGTCGATGGATACATTTCCACTTATTGATTTATGCTGCACAGCAGAACGGTCTGTATTCTTTACACACAAGTTCCCTATCAGTTAAAATCTAACCACATACAAGAAGTCATGCCTACATTAATGGATTCTCTAGATGACAGAAAATTCCACACACTTCTAGACTCTTGCTAGGCAGAGACTTAAAGATCAGCTCGATTCCACACCCATATTAAACAGATGAGAAAAGCTGAACCCCAGAAGTGCTACACGGAAGTAACCGCTGTGGGAGACAATGCAGGAACTGATAGTCCCTGGATGTAAAGAACTTCCCTGCGCTCTCCACAGTATCTGTCTCTAGACTGCACAGTAAAACAAACAAAACCAGAAGTAAAGCATATATCACGTATCGATTTCCTGCAATGACTGCCATCTATGTTTTTTTTTTGAACGGTCGAAGTCGCTTATGGGAAGTAAACGCAGGGGGTAAAATGTCAATGGTCACATTAACGATCTTCAAAGAATATTGTAATGCCTTTCTCTGATATAAAATTTATCTGACTCAAGATGAGCTTTTTCACTGAGACTATGAAAGGCGCCCAGTAAATTCTCCTCTGAACATTTTTGATGTGATATATATATATATGTATTCATGTATATATGTGTATATATATATAATGCACACACATATCAAAGATGGTTAAGAATGTTTTCAAGTCCCATGGCAACCACCTTGAAAATGTCTTGAGGTTTTTGGGGGAGGGGTGCTTTGTTTTGTTTCTTTTTATTGTTATTGTTGTTTGTTTTGTTTTGTTTTTTACGTTCATAAACGACAGTTACCAAGATTCCTCACTATAAAACTTTTTTTCTTCCTGTTAAGAAAAGAGAAAATCCTTTTCTCCAGGAATTCCATGTGTGCCAGGCAATGCCTGGCTCCTAGGATGCTTGGACAGTGGTCCTACCGATGAGTAGTAGACACTCTAAGGAGAATGAGGCACTCACTGCTACCTACTTCATCTCATCACCATGTACTGACTCAAATCCTTCCTTGGAATGAGACAGAATATTAAATAACGAACCAACTAGGTAAGATCCATCCTCTGAAAGCCAAGCAACTTTTCATTTTGACCTTTACAAATAACATCTCGCCCCTCCTGATCCCGGTGACACCCGTGAAAATCTCATGTAAAACGAAGTCCTAATTGAAGTTTTCACAGACTGTGTGTACCTGTCTCCATGTCTGGAGTACCCCTGCTTCACAGAGTTGCACAGCCGAACATATGTCTTCTCTGGCTCCAGATGAAAGCACATATTTTCTTTCTTTACCCAGGAGTTAGTGTTTGCACACCAGGTCAGTGCCTGAACCCGCAGCTCACAGCCCCCTTCCCTCCAGAGACAGAATGCAGGCAAGGCCAGCTCAGAATTCACTCTCCTGGGTGATTCTGGGTGGTTCTGAAACACTGTAGCTGTGTCCTAAGCAAAGTCCTGGCTCCTAGGATACTTGGGCAGTGGTCCTACCTATGTGTTGTAGGCACTCCCTGGTCAAACAGATGTCAAAGGCATGTTTATCACCATGGGCCCAGTGTCCCTCACAAGAAGGTCAAAGCTCCTGTGCCAGTAGTCAGTGTTCTGGTTAGGGGTGTCACCCTCCATTAGTAAGTGATTTTCTTTCCCAGGGTGCTGGGAGACACTGAAGCCAATACTTTTCTGTCCAGACGGGGAGCACAAGAGAGAGCGTAGATACACCCATGCACTTGCCAAGAAGCTTAGTTTAATGTGCCATGCTTCTGTGTAAATGCAGCTAAGCTACCACAGCAGAGTTGTGCCGAGTTAAGAGGGGAGCCTTCTTCTGTTCTTGTTATCACAAAGGGCCGGGATACAGGGAGCATGTACTTACAAAGGTTGTGTCATGTGACCTTAGGAAACATTTGCCACCTTTGTTTTGCTATGGAATTGGGTGCAGAGACTGAGCCCACTTTGTAAGCTAACATAAAGGTATCTGGAAGGAGCCATGTCTAGAGAACTCCAAGATGCCCAGATGGACAGAAAGCAGAGGCATACACGCCCACACACACACATACGAATTTGGAAAATAGTAAAGCATTGCTATTGAAAGACATCGTCTCTAGCAGACAAGATACAACTTCAAAACCTAGTGTCCCCATAACATGACCTTGTCAGATAACATAGCCCTGTGTCACTCAGCTGGTGCAATCGTCTATCCTCAAAAGAAAATCCACCA